AAGAGCAAAAATGCAATGTCATTTATCTCTTTTTCTTAACTCAATAACTTGATATTCTAACTTTATTATTTATTCTTTTGTAAAATGTAAGTGTTGAATTTCTCTTAAATTATTACTTTTACTTGTTTAATTCTGCTTTTTACTTTATTAGTTAAGAGTTTAAATTTGGTTTGTTTTTTTGTTAAAGATGGTAGTTCTTGAAGTTGCCTGTTTGTTAAATAATTCTACTATGCCACAACATTTTCTAGTATCTTTATTTTTCTTGAAGCTTTTTCTAAGTTTTCATCTTTTTCTTTGCTTTGCCTTACTCTTCATTATCTAGCTACTTCAAGAGTATCTAAATGGCATTTAGAAATGTTTTCCTTTAACTCTAATGCTTCTTCCAATTCTCTTATTTTTTTTTTAGTTCTTTAATTTGTTGATCTTTACTTTTTTCTAATTTTTCTAATTTCTTTTCAAACTCTCTCCTTTATTCAGTAAGTTGATAACTCCTTTTACTTTAGTTTAAAATATATTCAGAGTAAGTGAAACCTAATTCATTAGAATTATTAATAAATCCATCTAATATTTCTTCAATAGTAATGTTATCAAATTAAATTCTTTTACAACTCTTAGCTCATTCCCTAGCTTCATTTGGATCTACTACCATTCTTAGTTTACTTTCATCTATCCATTTCTTGTTTAGTTTTTATATTATCATATTCCTCTTGGAGCATGCATACTAACTTTTCCCTTATCATTAAGAGATTGACCAGTAATATATCAGATTTTTAGTTTTAGTTCTTCAATGTCTGCTCTCTTTTTTTATTGAGATTATTGATTTCTTCTAATAGTTCTTTATTTTTCTGTTTGAATTCATTTATTATGTTTGTCATGGTTTTTTTATTTTATTTATCTTTTAATGATACTTATATCCTTTTTATGAAGGAATATTAAGTATATAATTATTTTAATAATTTTATTCATTGTCAGTATATGTCAGTTTTGGACAAGTAATATCTTTGAATTTATCTTTAATAAATAGGCAAATATTATGATAAAGATATTCTTGTCTTTTATAATCCAGCAGAGAAGGGATTAATACTAGGATAGAAATTTTTTTAATTTTTTTTGATAATTTTAGAAACACTTGCTTTTTTTTGTTTTTAACAAATTAAATTCAGTAAAAGAACTATTAATAACCAGTTGTGCTTTGACAATTTTAGGATTGGCTGCTTCAAAAAGAAAATACTAATATTTTTGTATGCTACTTAATTGTTTAAAGAAAATTCTCAACACTGAATTAAGATTTAAGTATTGAAAGTCTTTGCCGTTTTCATAATATTGAGTTTTGTTTAATCCTGATGTACTTGATTTTTTTACAACTTTAATAATATGATCCACACAATCTACTGTTATCTTTCAGTATAGTTTCTTAATCAATCCAAAACTTTTATCACACTTGAATTTAGTATGTCCTAATACCATAAAATTTAACTTAATACTTTTATAATAACCGCAAATTACCAAATATAAGTAAAATCAAATAATGATGTTATTTTTATTCTGTTCTCCTGCATTATCATAAGTAATTTTAAATGTTTTTCACCTTTATTCAATCTCTTAATTCTATTGAATACCAGGCTTTGGGTTCTATAGAGTCTTTGTCAATAATTTTGTTTTCATCAAGAATATAATTAATTTGTTCGCATACTGCTTTATCTTGTATACCAGATAAATGCACTTTATGCAGACTGAGATAATAAATTTTACTTACCTGTTGATTGGAATGGGATATGTGAACATTTTGTGCTCAATTATAACTGTAATGAGTAGTAGCGTCAATGTTGCAATAATCAGCTTTACCTTTGTTATAAAATGCTTATCTACTAATTTTCTCTGTTGTTCTGCAAATTTCATATTTTATTGTAATAGCTTCTCTCTAATTTAACTTTAACTAAATGTTCTTTGAATTTTTTTAATAAATCTTTTGCTTCTTCTTTCTTATGAATATTATATTGTAAACTATTCTAAAATGTTGATATGTATCACATAAATCCATTTGTAGACTTATAATTTGAATATAAGACGTTAATTGGTATCATAACTTGCAGAATGCGTATATTTTAACAATTTCAATGTGCTATCATATTCGAGATCTACAATAAAATCATGATAGACTGATTTATAACTCATTTTAACTGGTAATAATATAAGCGATTGAGTAATGTGATTGACATTTCTACCAGAACTTGATAATCCATAGATTTCAGCATAGTTTTCAAGAAAATTCTTCACAGCAGTAGCAATTGCTATATCAATAATTATTTTGATTTTCCATTGTGACATTCTTTTATGTTACCATGAATATGCAGTATTATACCATTCATTGCTAGATAATTTCTAATGTTTTCAAAATGTGTGTAACCAATTCTTAACATATTGAGATACATTTTCTGACAAAGTAGTATATTGCAATCTCAATAATAAAATGTTCACTTATTAGTATGTGTTTTCTTTTTAAGGCGTCGACTAGCAGTTATCTCTCCACCATTTATTGCTTTCAACTGGGTCATTAAAAATATATCTTATTCAGATCTAAAAAAACTTGAAACGCCTCACGTAATTCAGCAAAACTTTCTCTCAGAATCTTTCTTAAGCAATCACAATTGCAACCTAATTTCATAAAACATATTGCTTTTCATATTCAGTAGAGCCATTGTATTCACTATTTTGTCATATACAGATAATCCTATATATAAATTTTATTACTTATACATATTAATATAGCAATTTGCATATAGCACACACATGATTAGATCATCATACTAATTTTGACAATTAATAAACTAGGATTCTCTGTCAATAACACTAAGTCTACAATAAATTTCTAAATCTACTTTCAAGCAGGAAATTTGATAAAAACTTGCAATCATTACAGGTCTTCAGTAAGCTTGCGTAGAATTTTTAGTGTGATAAACAACTTTCATAAGAAATTGTTTTAGAAAAACTATTCTTGTTGAAATTGTGATATTACTTGCTTCTTGAAGGAAAAGATGTTTAGTTTAATAAACTAGCATTTGACGTTTTTTATATTTTAAAGGCTTAGTATTAGACTTACTTTAAATTTTAGTATTCATTTACTGTAATCTAACTAACCCTTTACCACCCATTCATAATATTGTGTCCATTGTGCAAACTCACACAATAAACATTTAACATAATGATCTTTTATATATTTTGAGATAATTCCACTAATAGTACTTGATTAGTAGTATGCTGTAAACAACTCTATAAGTGCAAATTTATGCTCTGCAAGAACACCTTCATTAATTTCATTTGAAGACTGAGATCAGAGAAGTGAACTTTTGAGTAGTTTCATAAGAACCAATAAGAGACTGACAAGATCATCACTATATAAACATCTAAAATAAAGTATCATTGGTAATACAAATTCAGTATTTACATATAAATATGATGGTAATTTATCTGCAACATTGCTTACAGATGAAAAATCAATTAAGACATATTATTCTATTTGCCATCCAAGTGGAGTGTCAACTGCAATTATATTCAAATCAGATACATCACCATGAATATATCCTATATATATAATTTTAATTCTACACCTAATCATGATAATCATACATTTATTCATTTTCTAAGCAAATAGGTTTTTATTACTTTTAATAGTACAAATAATATTTATGAATTTTGCATGACAAATATTCATTACATATAGCGATTTAATAAACTAAATAATTCACATTCCTCTTTACAAAATAGCTCACTATTATCAGTTACAACAAATATCCTAAAATTAATGATATAAATTTCACCTTTTTCATTAATTAAAATATTCTCTTATCAGATATTATTGTGAAGAATATTATAACTATGAATAGCATTTAAGGCCTCCAATACTTTATACTTTTGATTATAACTTACTTTATGGTTGTTTAAAGTAATACTAATAATAGTGACATCCATAAAATAGCCTATCCTATATTCATAATAACTATGACACACCAATTTGGGAATATATATTCCTTGAATTTTGACAAGATTTTTGTATATTTCAATTTCTTTTTGAATTTTATGCAAGAGATCAGCTTCCTTATATAGATTAATAACCTTCAAAACAATTGGCTCTTCATGGAATCTGACTCAAAATGTCCTTCCAGTTTATTCACATCCTAGAATACCCTTAAGCTTGAAATCCTTGTAGCTATAAATCTGTTCTTCTATTTTTGTTATAGAATCTTGATCTTTAGAGGTCTGGTCTCTAAAACCTTACTAGTTGTAATAACTACTATCTGGATCCAAATTTTGATTGAAACTTTGGTTATAAAAACCTGAGTTTTGAATTCTGAAACCTTGTACTCTGATATCTTGTCTAGTTCATCCTGAAATTACATTTGGATAAGATGATTTAGGTTCACTTATTGCTAGGCGGACTAAGTATGCATAAGTTTAAATACTAGCAGACTTGTTAATTGTAATGGAAGAGATTTAGAAATTAATAGTATTAATAGATCAGCACTTAAACGACGAAAGAACTAATGGTAATTATAGGTTACAAGTATGCTATATTGTAATTCGTTCATGATTATATAGTTATAAATCTGACTAATTACGTTAATAAATCACTACGTGCATAACTAGTAAAGTATTTATCAAATAATTCACTTAAATTAATCTCATGTAACTGTGTCATAATACATTTTCTTTTGATTTCTATACTTATGATTCTTTTTCCTGTATGATCATTAGAACCATCATACTTTCAGTAAGTGAAATCTGATTTTTCAAGGCCAATATTTGGATCATTAGAATTAAAATCAGAATCTTTTTATTTCAAAAACTCAAATATTAGAGACAAAAGCAAGTTCAATGTACGAAAGATATTAAAGTCTATAGCAATTTTAATATTATATTCAACGCGAACTCTTATACCTTTAATGAATTAGTACCTATTGAACTTTCGCTCTCTTTAATCAAAGCTAAATTGAGTTACTTCTTCAAAAAATCCATTTTAGGAAATTATTCTTGATGGCCAGAGACCCCTTGCTATACGTAAAACATGTTGAAATACTAGCATCTAAAAAATAAACAATAATTGAAGGAATAGATGACAGATATTCTTCTTCATTTAGGAGACATTCTAAAAGTATAAAAAACGGATTAAGATAAAATTACAAGGTGCAAGCAATAAGAGTATATATAGAATAATTAATAGAATAAATTTATAAGTGAGAAGCATATTACTATGTCTATCCTACACTATTCTATGTCTTCAACGCTTAAATTACAAAGTCGTTACCTACAGTTGCTAACCCTTTCATTAGCTTAAGCTCTTCAATAAGCTGAGCAATAGCTGCAGTAGAATCAAAAGTTAACCTAATGCTGTGAAGCTTCTTTTCAGTCAGTGTGAGAAGGATAATGCCAATGACCTTATTGTTTCTGACAACTTGAATGTCCTCATTATTAAAGTCATACTGGATTTTGTTGTTATTAAGAAACTCAAACACTTCAGAGCATTTCCAGTCTTGGATATTCTCAGGGAGGCCAATGGGAATAGTTATCTTGCCAGATATTGTGTAAGCAAAATAATTTGTCAATAGTATTTGTTACAAGATGTGCTGCGTAATCTGATATACAATAAATAAACAGATTTATTAAATATACGTAATTCTATAACGTTTGTAACAAATAAAATTGTAAATTACGAATAAAAAAATTAACATAACTGAACTGATAAAAAAACAACATTTGCAACTAATTATTCTACATAATGTAAAACTATTCAGTAGGTTACACTCTCACCTCTAGTTAAATATAATTACAATTGCTTATTTTGATATGCTGATCAAAAAGTCATCATCTTCTAAAGTTTGGTCTGACTGTCCTTTTAATAATTTATCCACTTTTATTACTTTTTATACTTATTATTGTTTCTAATATGATAAAAGGTATCTACTTATAACTTGTGTCAGAGCTGAGCAAATTTATTGTTATTCTTACTGAACAGCCTATAAAAAATCATGGAATTATTAGCAATTATAAAGAAACAGATATTTGCTTTATATTTTCAGCTTCCATTTCTTTCTTGGTTCATCATATGCTGGTGTTAATATTCGTTTTTTATTATAATTTTCCTTTCCTCTTGATAAATTTCATAAGTAATTCTAGGTACTTCTGGAGAGTTTAGGTATTATTGATTTTAAAAATATATGAAGCAATTTTTTCTCCTTGGATTTTTTTTAAGATGCTTCTAATAGTGCTGTAATTCTTGGATTCCATAGTGAATTTAATGTAAATTAGTTTCATATTATATTTTTTATATAGAGATAATCCTATATATATTAATCCTGTTATGGTTTATATTCCTTACCTTCTGACATGATAAAGTGAACATTAAAATTAACAAGTTTATAAGTTATGAATGAGCACCATTATTACTTTTCAAAATGTTATTAGTCATACTGGTCAATTTTATAGTCACAATATAATCAGCTCCTTATTTATAGAATGTTCACTTTGTCTAATTTTGTTGCAGTCTGCCTCATGTTAAAACTTGTTTTTTAATTAAAAATAAAATAGTTATTTTTTTTTTTTAAAAATATTATCTTATTTATTTATCAAGTTTAATTCATCCAAAAAATTCAGCATTTTTACAAAAAGAAAAAAAGAAATATTAAGACTATTTTTTAATTTAAAAATAACTTCTTTTTCTACTTTTAAAAAGATATTTATTATTATTTATTTATCAAATCTAATTCATCTAAATATCAAAAAGATCTACTTTTTTTAATACACTAAAAGTCATTTTTATAAAAAAAAAAGAAAGTTAAGATTTTTTTTAATTAAAAAATTCATTTATCTTAAAAATATATTAAGTTTATTAAAAAGCTTAGCAGCATCTCTATAAAAATAAAAATAAAATTCTAAATCTGGAATTTAGTATATCTGATTCATTAAGAAAAAAATGATTTAGTAATCTATATCACATGATATTTCAGTATAGCTAATATGTAGTTGATATATTATAGTTGATTAAGATAGATTTAAATGTAATATATAAAATTTTATAATTAAGTTTATTATATCTAATATAAATAAATATAAAAATTTAGTTTTAAAAATATTAGTTATTTATAATTAGATTTTAGTATATATAGATTTATTATAATCAACTTTGACTATATTAATTTATGAATATAAATCTTATATAATGTAATATATTAAAATATTTTTAATTTATATATGCATGCTTTGTAGTAGAAATAGAAAAACTCTAAAAATATTTTTTTACTTTATAAACTTAAAAATATTATTTTTTTAGTAAAATAAATTCAAATTTAATATTAACTTAAAAAAATTATTTTGGTAGTTTTTTTACTAAGTATTCATATAATAAATTATATATTTTTATAATTTATATAAAAATATATATTTAATTTCTAATAAATATTAAGATCAAAAAAACTTTTATTAGATAAAATTTTTATAATATATAAAATATATATAAATAATATAAAATAATTTATTTTAGATTATATAAAATTTTTAAATATATATTATTTGAAATAGATTTAAACTTATTATTTTATATAATTTTTATAGCTATTTTTTTTTTTTTACTTAAATTAATTAAAAAGATATTTAATATTATTATAAAATTAATTGTAAAGTTTATTGATTGAAAAATAAGTTTTAATATATATAATAAACTTTTAAATTTTTAAAAGTTGTCAGTTATTTTAAATTCTAGAGATTTGTTTATATTAATAAAATAATTAATAAAAAAGGAGTAATAATAATAAATTAAGTTTTATATTATAAGTTTGATTTTATTAAAAATTTAATATAATTTAATAAATTTTAATAAATTTTTTATCAATTTATTAATTTCTAATTATTTTTATTAAAATTTTCAAATATTTTATATTAAAACTACATAAAATTCTTATTTTATTTATATAAATTCTTAATCTATTTTTATTATTAATTAAAAATAAAGTAAAATTAAAGAAATTATAAAAATTTATAAACTTTTATTAAACTTAATAAACTTATTAATTATTATAATTTATATAATTTTATTAATAAAGTTGTTATATTACACTCTTATAAAAGTATAATGTAAAATTTTATATTATATTATAATATGATAATATTATAATATAAGAGATTTATATAATAAAATTATATGATACAATAAAAATAATTTATCAATCAGCCTAATAGGATCATATTAATTTTTATAGACTAATATTTTTATTAAGCATAATAATATCATAAGATATTATATTATATTTTATATATTGTAAATTTAATTTAATATAAAGTCTAATATTAACTATTTTAATATATAGATTAAAAAATTACATTTCAATTGAAGAGGTGAATAATATTAATTAACATAATTATTTTACTTATGATTTAATTATTTTACATAATTAATTTATTGTTATATTAATTATCTATAATATTAATTTTAATATTAAAATTGGCTAATCTATCATTTTGTATTAATAATAAAAGTTGATCCTATCTTAATAAAAAATTTTAATGTATTATTGCTTAAATTTTAAAGAGGTTAGTAATTTAAAGATTTATTGATTATATTAGAATTGATCAAAAAATGTTTAGAAGTTTATATTACTAAATTATTTAAAAAATAAGATAATTTTAAATTTAAATGTCAAATATTTAATATACCTTTTTTAGCTATTTTGAAATCATTATTTTTCTTAATTTAATTTTTTGCAGATCTTTTATTTTTTGTTATATCTTTAACGTTAATTCTTAATATATTTAAAATTATGAAAAAATTGAGAAATTAAAAAGCAAATTTATATAAAAATTAATAATAATACCTAAGTATTTACTAAAATTATATATTTTTATTACCAATTTATTTATTATATTTATCTTCTCTTAAAGGAAAATCTCACAATATTAAGATTGAATATGCTTAAGTAAGTTTGTTTATCTTATCAGTCTATTGGCTTTGAAATAAGAAGATTAAAAAAGTGGTATATTATATTACTTAAAATTTAGCATAGCTTAAAAGTGTATTTCAGATAAATAAAAAGAAATAGACTATAAATCAAACATTTGAGAATGATTATTTTGATTATATTTATAGTATCATAACTATGAATACAGAGTGGTACTTTACCATATATATTCTAAATGGTATTTTCTGTATAAGCGATAGTGAATACCAAATTAATCTTATAAAGTCTGCCATTAAAAAAAATTCTGAGCTACTTTAAAATAACATGAAAAAGGTAATAGGTATAATTGTTGGATTGTTAAAGAATTAGATTAGTATTAATAGTTCTCTGTCTAGCAAGAGGATTAGAATCAAAAAATTTATTAAAAAATAAAATGTATCTTGGGTTATATTCTGATCTTGTATTTATTTTTGCATATATTAATAAAAAATTCAGCCAGAGACCCTAGTAAAATCACATAGCTTTTTTATTTTGAATGTTTACATATAGTGAATTAGTTTTATATAAATTATGATATCAGAACTTAAATTGTTAAAACAGAGATTTAGTAAACTTGAAGCTAATAATGTTAAACTTGAGATTGAGAATGCAAAGCTTATGAAGAGAAATATTAAGATCTGTGATCTTAGAATTAAGTTTTCAGTGTCTGATGCTGAAATAGCTGAACTTAAATGCAGGAATGCTAAGATTCTAAGAGTGAATGAGGAATATAATGAGAGGCATGATGCTGAGAATACCAAATTCAAGATCAGAATTGAGAGTTAGAATCTAAAAATGTTGAGTTTAGAAATAGACTTATAAAGTAAAATAGAATCAGTTGCAAGATAACTTAAAGAAAAATAATACTTCTAATAATAACTCATTAACTTTAATGCAAGTATAGACTTCTATAAAAATCTATTACAAGAAAAAAAGATGGATAATTTCTTAGATAAGATGCATAAGAAAAACGTTAGTGATAAAATAAGGTGATGCAATAAGAAGAAGAAACTCCAGTATAAATCAGCTGATTAGGATAGCTCTTTTAATACTGCTTATATATCAGAAATTATTAACAATATTGAGAAAATAAATGTGCCTAAAATTACTAACTGTACTTCTTTAGAATTATCTTACGAAATAGAGGTCATTGAAGATATTATAAATTTTGTTATAAATTCAAATACCATTAATGATTAGAATATTTCAGAAGAAATAAGAAAAACTGTATCTTTAGGATATAATTAGAGTACTTCAAAAATTCAGAAGAAATCAAAAAAACTATATCTTTAGAATACAACCAGGTGGTTTCAAAAAGTTTGGAAGAAATCAAGAGTAAAGCTGACTATTAAGATAAATTAGTAGTAGAACTAAACATAATAATCAAATTCATATAAGATTTATTGAAAGAACTACTCTTATTTGACAATCAACTTTTGAAAGATGTAAAGTCTTCTTCTTCTAAAACCATGGTTTCTGGATCAATTAATATTAAGAAATTTATCATTAATTATACCAAGCAAATAGTATAAGAAATAAATTAATCACAGCAAAGCGAACAGAAATTATAGCTTAATGTTTATTCTTAAAAAGATTCAAAAACAAGATCCTAGAACTTAAGTTTGAAAATAAGAAACTTTTGGATAGGACTGCAAGAACACAAATTTATATCAAAATGAAATTATATCTACAAATAATTTAGATAAATATTTACGTATGAGGACCTTTAAGGCAAAAAAAATTAATAAGTTATTTAGGTTTAAATATGATTCTATAACTCTAAAAAAGATTAATAGTATACTAGTATATATGATAAATCAGGTCACCTGTAGTGCTGACAGAATTTTAAAACTCACTAATTTTCAAATCGAATACATCATAGGATAGATCAAATTGAAGACAATTATTAGTTCTATGAATAAAATCTCTAAGATCATGGCTACTACTTTAGTTCATAATTTTAACTCAGATGACTCTAATACCAATAAATCTGATTTTGATGTTAATAAATTAGATTTCAATATATATTTTAAATCTGATGATTTTGACTCTGATGATAAGTATGATCATGAACTTCATGAAAGACTCATGTGTAAAAAAATAGTAAGAATATCAAAATTAAAGGATAAAACATCAATTAAGCCTAACTTAGAGGATTATTTTCCCTGAAGAGAAAGCGAATAAAGTTAAGTCAGTTGATGAAAATGCTTCTAATGATCTTAATAAAATCATTATAGAAGTTTTAGAACATGAGACATATTTTGATGATCCCATATCTCAATTAATAATAAGTCCTATTATCTCTCTAGTGACTGTCTAGAATACTCGCATTATATGATTATTACTTCATTTTTTTTCAAATTAAAGATGACGTTGCAATATTGTGATGCTTATTTGTCATCTGTTACAACTTAAATTTTAATAATGTTGCAATTCGTTGCAACATTGTGATGCTTATTTGTTACCTGTTGCAACTAATTGAGGTGCTATCTTTATTTTAAATCATGTGAATAACTTAAATAACAGCATTTTGCAATAATATGTCACCACTATACTCTGCAGTATTGAGTATATTATTTAACTACAGTGCATACAACTTAGTTATAACTAATAAATTTGATAAAATTCAAATTGCTATTCCTCATTCAAAAAATATGATAAATATAAAATATAATCATAAAATGATAGAGTAACTCAAGCCTAACAAAACTATGTTTTTAAAATTCTGATAAAACTATTTTTGATAGAGCAGTAGCAATTTAAAAGTGAGGTCATTTTACTATTAAATCAGAAATTTTGATCGCCCTTTACGTGACTCACGTGATCAATTTTCTTACTTTTTATTGGTTAATTTTCATTTTTGTAATACTGACCAAAAGTCACAATCTTTTAAAAAAAAGATTTTATGTCTCTTGCTATCTTTATTGAAAAAATAAACAAAAATTTTTAAAAGATAAGTATTTTAATTGCTATTATTAATATGTGCAAAATTTATATATTACTAATTTTTTGCTTAATTTTTGTCCATAGCCAGTGTAAATAATCCAGTGTATTTCGCCTAAATAATAACTGTTTGTAAAACTAAATTGGAAACCCGACGATGTGAATGATACTTTTTAACTGCAAATTCTGCTGCCTGACCCGTTAAGCCTTTTTAATATACATCTATATAGCGAAATATTTTCATTGCATACTGATGAATAGTTGTAAGTGAAATAGAAGTAAGAGCCAATAGAACAGTCCTTTGTAATCCCATCTACGAGTAATCATAATTTGACTGACTAAATTTCTTAGCTGCATCTCAAAAGTTCTTAATATAATTGAGTTCACAATAAAATTTAGGATAGAATATAATTTGATGTCTAGCTGCAATAATAACCTCTTCTAATCGTTCCTTTTGTGCTAAAAAATCTAGCTGCTAACTCATAATTTTTTGTGCTTCTTTCAATTTCAACCCTCAATTTGACCACAATCCTCTTTCTGTTAGAACTTGCTTTAATCCTTTTGACTGTTCACGCAGTTTAAAAATATGATAATTCAATAGAAAGATCATTTATTATTGAACTCTCTTACAAAAATACGTGCTGCGCATCTTCAGTTGCTTTCCACTAGGGCTAAGATTCATATGTTTGACAATTAGTATATCTGGTGAAAAAGCAGCATGGCTTGATGCATTATTAAATGCAAATAAAGCCCGACATACTGGAAAACATTTTTTAAATATAGAAATAGCACGTTCGACTACTTGGTTTACCAAATCTTCAGCATTCCACTATCTATCATTGTTTTTACCTGAATTCATAATAATATAGGCTTCTTTGAGAAAATTATCTGATATCTGTATTTCATCAGAAAGTGCAAGATGATCACAAACATCAGTCAAAAAGTTACTGACATAAATCGAGCGACCATTACCTTTTTTCGTAAAGATTGTTCTCTATTAGAGATCTAAAAACTCTGATTTTTATCATAAGCTAAAAAAATGCATTCATCATATGTAACAAGAATAAGTAGATTATCTGATCAGGTTACTTCTTCTAAGTTGTTTTCTGAAAAAATAGGCATTCTAAACTCAAGTTCACTTATTCGTTCTAAAAATATTTTCTGATAAGCCACCACATTTTCTCTTTTATGCCCATCTATGTACATTCCCTTTTTTACTTTTGCATATGTATAACCAAGCTCTTTTAAATAGTTTCTTATGGTATTTATATGAATAATTGGAGACAGTGCAAATCTGAGCTCTGGTAAAATATTCTCATTCATTTGTATCATTAACATTTGTAGAATAATTTCCCACTTATGTTTTTGAACAAATGACTTCATTTGAAGGAGAATATCTTCATCTCAAAGAAAACTCCATATCTTAGCATAATGTCCTCAATGGGAGTAGAGAATTTTGTGATTTTTTATATATTTACATGCCCAAGAATGAATGCATTTAGTATGGTATGTTCCTTTTCTACTGCATTAGTAACAATCTCGCTTGCTTGCATTCTTAAATGGTTACTTTTTACAAATTAAAGATAAAGATGAATGCTATTTAAATGCATTTAAACCTCACTATTTGTTTTTTCTTTTTTTAATATTTAACATTAGACTTTTAAGAGCATCTAGGATTTTATTATATCAATTATAACCCTTAACCTCATTATCCAACTGTTTATTAGCATTATCATCTAATACTAACTGTTTATCAGCATTATCATCTATATCTATATTAATCTTATTATCTAATTCTTCAATTTCTTCAGTAAATTTCTTAACATTCCAAAAAGTATGTAATTTAAGGGTCCCTTTTGCTACTTTACGCTGTTACTGATTCTTTCTTCTTTTAGTGCAACTTGAGTTTCCTATATAATATAATCTATGTATTCTTCAAAAGCATATTCCTGATGATACTTTTTTGCCGCTTCTTATAGTTTTTTTGCAATGCTTATAACATTATCATTTTCTATTAGCTTATTATAAATGGAAAAATTATCATTATAAAAAGAAATATTGTCATTATCAGGATCTTTAATATTATCATAGCCTTTCAGCTCATCATGAAAAAAAATATTATTAACATCAGGATAACTTTCAAAATCAGATATGTTATCAATATTAATGTATTTCTAATATACTGACACTTAGCTTTTTTTGCTTCACAAATTTTTTTTAAATGTTTTTAACAGTTTGTTAGATATGGTATATTAGAATATTACTATACAGGCAAGTCAACTTTTTTATTATTTAATTAATATTGATTTTTACAAGGAAAAACAATTCTTCTAATCACAAAATGCACAAAGTAAAAAAATTATAATCACGTCAAAAAAGTAAATTAAGTTATACGTATATCTACCAATCAGTTCATATATTTAATACTGTGAAATCCATTTGAATCCTGAAAGTTAAAATTCTGAAACCTCTTTATTGCATCCTATATGCAGTCATATTTATCATACACCTTTCATGATGTGAGCCAATATTAATGTAACAAATAATTTTGATTTCAAGATTTTATATTAACACAATACTACAACAACCCAATTAATACCAAACCATTTTAGAATATACCAATAGTGTCTTTATTAATTATAAATGCTAATTTGTTATACATGTTTAATGTACAAATATAAATTCTAATCATGATGAAACCATTTTGTCACGTGATATATATATGCACCAATAAAATTACGAGATTTCTTTATCACGTGATAAATGATCGATATCTCAAATTTGGCCGCTTAAAAAATTTTTGGTTGGGACTAAGTTGTATGCACTGTATAATAATTTTTAATATACTCCATTTCATAACCAGGGCGAAGATTAGTGGGTTTAGGCACAGATTTATTAAAGATCTTGTCTAAGATAATATAAATACATTTATTGGGCCTTGCTCTGTTAATATGAGTTCCTGACATAATAAACGATTTATAGTTAATTAGCGTTTTTATAGTGTTTTTTTTATAACGATTTAGCTGATTTAGCAATAGTAAAACCAAATTCATTTTTATTCGATTATAAGCATATCGGAGATTTATATAGGACTTACATGCACAGTTTGTGGCTGATGTACTGTATATCGTATCACATGAGATCTCCTGTCAGTTCTAGGAGTGTTGACGAGTTTCTACAGTATATTCCGGATTTTTTCTTTAGCCGGATAGCCTTTGATTCGGGAAAATTATTACAACTATTTTTTCTGATGGTAGAGTCTGGACACCGTGTCCGGGCTCGTCAATATTGCGCAGAAAAAATGAAATAAATCATGTGGTGTATTAAAGTATATCAAGTGATAATTTATCGCAGTACTCTGTGAAAAAATCATGTGACACCGTGAAAAAAAATTTTCTTGGCAAAAATGCTAAAAAAAGAAACGTCATAACTGACATAACTCGTGGCGCAGTATTTATTTTTTTTAATCGTCACAAGGGCGCAGTAAAATGTAGCGCAATATTAAGTGCTTTTAAAACTTCAGCAATTACATAATTGGTATCATCTACTCATTTTACCCGTGCTATTTTTTCTTTGCCTGTAGTATTGAAATTCTAAACATCTTTTGGGTATAATTAGAACATTTTGTTTAACCTTTCTCGAAGCCATAAAAATCATATGACAAAAATTTTGCTGATCTTTGGGTCAGGAAATCCTATCTTTTGAGCATATCTATTGGTAACAGCGATTACATCACAATAAAGTATACACGAGTTAAAAATAGAATGTAATATTATGGACAGGTTTCAAAGTTATGCATTAAGTGATAAGTTTTTTTTGCATTTTCTAATTTGGGCATAATTTATACAAATCAGATTGCGTATGGACTAATTTTCAACAAGTCATTTCATTTCACTTCTGAAGCAATGCAATCTGTACAAGGTGATATGTTATCTAAATATGCACTTAGTGGACCTTCATGTCGTTGATTCAAGAAAAAAAGTCCTCCTCCACTCCGGTGGACATAAGTAAATTGGTCCAGTACATCATTCCCGATAAGGGAAGAATCCACCTGGTCACCGGCCTTTCGTTCCCACACCCGAAGCGTATTGGTCTGGACCCATCTGCTCCAATTATTATCATCCCTGTAGCTAAAAACAATTTAGCAGGTGCTCCATATCCAGGTGCAACTACCGCTTGTCTTTCCCATCCAGCTGTTCCTAGGTATGAACGGACTTCGTAGGGTAGTATTGTTTCTGGAGCACCTGTATCAATAACTGTCTTGTAAAGTTTATTCCGATTTTTTGTATCATTAAATCGATAAGCAAGAGTAATAAAATTTGTATTTTCGTCTCCAACTCTTTTGACTCGAGCTTGAATCTTTATTAATATTATTCTTTATTAACAAAAAAACTAAATAGCAAAGCAAAAAAGTGTAAGTTTAAATGTATCAAACCATATATTCTCCCCCATCAGCAGAACGCTGGGAAAGTACTGCTCTCGCTGCGGGAATTTTAGGATTAAGAAATTCTTCACGAAGTAATGAATCTACTGGGAGATAAAGGGCACCAGGCATTTCACGATCGAGATCTGACCGTTGCTTATTTGACTTCTTTTCTCCATATTCAACCACACTCTGCTTGTACACCAGTACCCAATCCTGTTTATGTTCATCAAACATTCCCTTGTCAAGACTATTGTAAAAATAAATGCAATTGAGCGCGTATTCTTTATCATCTTCGGTTACATCGATATCAGTGAAAACCCAGAAGACTTGATCTCTGGTGTTTTGGGGCATAGAAGTAGGCCATCTGAAATCATTTCCCATACGATCTATAAAGATGTTAGTTAATTAGACAATAGAATAATAAAATATACAAAATTTTGGTCGTACCTAAAAATCTCTGTGCCTCATCAGTATCTTTTTCATACGCACGAAGGGAATCCACAGTTTCGGGTGGAGTTTCAAGATGAAGGGAGTCTAATCCCTCGATGATTTGAGCTGAAGTATCTTTAGCTGTGGCCACACTTTTTTGTTTCGTATTAGTTGAAGTACCTTCAGCATTTCCTTCGACATTAACAGCTTCGACATTAACAGTTTCGCTTGCTGGGGTAATAATAGAAGACTCGCCTTTAGCTGTAATTAGCAGAATATTCAGTACAATATGATTGAAAGTTCTACATTAAACCTTGCAAAAAACCGAACCTTTCTTTCTAGAAAATATTCTTTTGAATGTTTTCATGGCTGTAACGAGTACAAATCACCTCATGGCAAGCTTTCTAATAAATACTTTATGATTGATTGATGTAAGATCAGAATATTTAACAATAAAAGATCATCACATGATCATTTTGACTTTCTAATGCTGCGTCAAATTTCGCACATGCCAATGATCAATAACATATATAATGGTAAATATAATTTTTTTTTTGCTTTACTTGTACAAGGTAGATAAAAAGATTCATTATCTAGGGGCCTTTCCTATTTATATGATTTTAATGGTTTAAGGATATATTTTGAAAGCTTGAGTATATGGGGAAATTTCAAGAATAAATTATATGATACATCAATATGTAAATATATAACTTAATGTACATTAGCTTTATTGATTGTAAATAAAAAATACATATTTTTGTTCATATTATCTTTTACTGCCTTGACTATCGATCTGCCATTTGACATACAACAATGCCATTATGTGGCTATGATTGTGAACTTAAGTTTTTTGCTTGAAGTGTTGCAGGTAAAACAATATTTCAACTTATCTTAGGAATACAACTTCGTTAATTCAGGATCATAAGGGAGCTGATTCCTATTTTCACAGTACTATGAGCCATGTAATCCATAATTCCCATGTTTTCCATCACAAATAGGATATGATGAGCTCCACAGCTGAGGTGATGCAAAATTATAATTATCAATCCCTCTGAAACTATTTCTGAATTTTAAGTATGGAAAGTGCTCTAAGACGGATTTGATAATTAATTCTGAATCGGGTCTGACTTCAAAAGTTATAGACCCTTTTTCTTCATATCACTCAGAAGAAGATAAATAGGATACTTTGTTTTTTGGCTTCGAATTTATGAGAAGGCGATCTTCTAATAATTGCCATAGCTCATGCCTAATTTCTTTTTTATATTTTTTGTATAAGTTAAATCACATCTTATTTGTCAAAATGCTTAGTAACCCACTTAATTTAATATGCCAATCCAGATACTCAGAAGTTAGTATTTCATCAGATTTGCTCATATTGCCTTTTTCTATGATTACAGATCAATTTAAATTCTTAGATAGAAAGCTGTCTAATATTTCTTATCATATTTTCAAAAAAAATAATTAGATTATCTTTCGAAGTATCTATGATATAAAAAAGGGATAATGAGACTATGCAGTTATCTTAATTTCGCACTGTTTACATTTAATAAAGTAAGATCCAAATTTATACCTACTTCTATACTTTCTTTATCATTATGATCTAACTTGCATAATAGACATGATGTTTCGTTAGTAATGTCATAATAATCAAGATTTTCACTACTAAATTCTCTATATAAAGCAGAATATTGATCTAATGTCTTATTGCGAAAATAGGATTGGTCATAAGTTAGCTTAAATTGACTGGAGGAAGATATAGATAATACATTTGCTGATGTACTTACCTTAGCCTTAATCTGATCATTTTCTAAGGGAACGATTTTTATTAAAGTCATATGACTCTGATGATCACTAATATATTTTTTACTTAATTTATGATATTTTGAATTTGTGCGTTAGTTAGTTTCAAAATTTCAGTTACACTATATGAGACTAATTTAATTTTATCTATTCTAATCTCATTTTTTCTGAATAATATGAGATATTTTCTGACCCTATGAGTTTTTTGCGTAAGTTAGCTTGTATGATTTTAGTAGAAAGAAATGGTTTCATTTCCTTGTAAATCATTGATTTTATCATTTTATCCTTAATTTTACCATCAGCCGTAAGAGCACCTACCTTGCTCTCAAATTCAAAGAAATAATTGTGCCAATCTAATATTTTTTGCTGACTGGATTTTATTGCTGTTTCAAATAAATAAGATAAGTATTAGGCAGAATCTGAAATCATATTCTCTAAACTAACACAAGAGCTAATGATTTCGATATTATCTTATTTATCTGAAACTTTTTCAGGTGATATGAGTACACATAATTCATATATTAGACCTTATTCTATGATTTGATTTTTATCAAGTGATGCCTCTTGAATCATGTCATCATCTTGCTTCACAGATAAAAGATCTGATTCACTTGAAGTCACATGATTCTGATCATTTCCTGAGGAAATGGTTTTTTCGAACTCTCTCAAAATTTTTAAAATCACCTGATTGTCTTTTTCAGAGTTGTATGATGAGTTAGTAACTGTCGATTCACGTTGAAGTTTCTCCTCTCGCTTTCTCTTTCTACTAAAATCATACAAGCTCTATCTTATTTTATCACTAATAATTTTCTTATGAGCCTCAAGTAAGAAACTATTCATATCTTTCTCTTCTAACGATTTACCATTAATCATTAAGACACTTTATAAGCGCATCACAGAGTTGGCAGATACTGTAATCACCTCTATTACCAGTTCTTGTTTATTATAGCAATCCTCTTCAAGAAAGAAATTATCTATTTTCATATCTATTAATAATTTCTCATGATACTCCGCAACTGAATTAAATTTAGATGTATTATTGTTAGAAGGATTATCATTATTTGACTGCTTTTCTATTAGTAAGAAAGTCTATTCTACTATCGCAAGTCTAGCCTTGAGCTCCTTATTTTTTTGTACCAGTTCCTCAATTCTAACATCACATCTAGTATTTCCTCATAATCTGCTTTAGAAGCTTAGCTTTTTCAGCTTTAAGCTCAGTATTCTTAGCTTCAAGTTCAACGATATGCTGTTTCAATACTTTAAGCTCAAATGTTATGATTGATAAATTTTATACAAGAAATGGAATATTCAAAGTAAGTTAGTACAGTATATATCAGATATAAGAAAAATAAATATAGGTTATGATGTCACCAGATTTTTAAAACTACGTGATCTCAGAAAAAAATGCTAAGAAAATTTTACATGATCTGCTTATAATGCAAAAAAATCTAATTAATGATCATGCAAAACACCTTTTAACACGTTCTGAACTAGCTAGATTATTCAGACTCTGATTCAGTTTCAGAGTTAGAAGATTTTGAATCAGAACAGCAGTAATGTTTATTAAAATTTTTGATATGAATATTTGGATTTAGCTGATCCATGACTTTTTTACTAATATTTTCACATCCTTTCAAATCTAAAGATTTTAAATTAAAATATGAGCTAGCAATTTCTTTAATAGTCTTACTTGTAATATTGCAGTAACTAAAGTTGAAATATTAAAGCTTTGGGCAGGAACGTATGACATTAAAAATTGATGGCTCACTAACAAAATCACAGCAACACAGATTGAGGTATTCTAATTTATGATAAGTATGAGCCAGCATTTTAGTAACCTTATCAGTGATATCATTACAGCCAATCTCTATATGTCTTAAATTCAGAGATCTTTTGATAATAGCTATAATTAATCTATCATCCCATAAAGCTATAGCATTACAAAAGTCAAGATACTCTATATTAAAACATCTTTGCATTAAAGTATTAACATCTTTGATATCTCCCTTACTATATGCAATATCAAGTTTTTGTAAATTTGAGTATGAGTTTAAGATGCAACTTATAGATTTATCTGTGATCTAACATGCTTCAGCAAAATGAAACATTTGTATATTATGGCAATTTTCTGCGATTTTAAACAAAGATTTATTAGTAATATTTCTGCAGTAAAAAATATTTAGATGTTCTAATTTACAGCATGATTCTACAATTGCATATAACCCTTTATTGATTATTACTTAAGTATTTCACAAATTGAGATATCTTAAATTAGAATATGATTTCACTATTATAAATAGTGATTTATCACTAAAACCTATACTTTTTTTGAAATCTAAATGAATTATATTCAGAAATGTATTCACAATACTTTTTATTTTTTTATCTGAAAGTGAATAGTAATAAGTAATTTCTAGATGAGTTGTATTCGAAATATAAGTTAGCTTATTCTTTCACACATTATTTTTACAAATATTTCCCATTGAATACGATTTCTCTCACTATAAATATATCCATCTGGAAAATAGTGCCCATATCTCAGATCATTTTTCTTTAGTTTGATATATTTCTATAAGCTAGGAATGGCACATCTATACCAAAATTAGTTAACAAATAGAGTGAAGTAGAGAGATTTATTTATCGCTAAAAAATGTAAAATCTGTTCTAATAGTTCTAGTAAATTTATAACACCCAAATGTACTATAAATAATATATGCTGTATCTTTAATAAAAAATAAAATTACGCATATTGGTGATAGATCTAGTAAAATTTGCTGAAGATGTATTGCTAGTATTGATAATATCAGATATTTCATTATTTTCTGTAAACTCTGATTTCAGATCTGAGTTATGCTTATCTTTAGGTCTGAAATCCTCTGATTCTGTATTTCCTATAGCATAATTATTACCTGCATCAAGACGGTCAGATTCTTGCCTTAATGTGATTCTTGAAGTAGTTTAAGATGCTGGAGAGTTGGATTCTTACCACTATGAATTCTGAAAACATGTTTACTTCTATAATCTCTTAATTTTTTAGGTATAATTTTATAAGATTCTTACTTTAAGAATTTATTAAATAGCTAAGCATTACATATTCTACTTTCAGTAAAGACAGGGTCAGATAACTTTTTAGACTTAATTGTATCTTGAATCCAGATAAGCAATTCTTTTATGTATTTTGGATTCTTTTACATAAAAAGAAATAGTTGAGAATTATGATTCTTCTTCTTTTCTCCTCTGTTCTTTAAATAACCAGTACAGTACCAAGAATAGCTTCTTTATACTATGATGGAATGTTCTAAAAGTCTAGTTTATAGATATTGATCTGAAAAGATCTTACTTCTGCAGGTCTCATACTCAATATCACTATCACATTCGCAAGATTCTCTCTAGTAGGAATTTTGAAAGAATGTTAACTGACATGAGACACTGGTAATAATTTCATTTTCATCTTTATTTTTCAGACCCACTGCCCAATTATTAGCGATAATATCTATAAAATCACTAGTCTTAGCATAGTATTTCGCTTTTCTCTTAATGGTGAGTTTTTTCTTTCTCTTATCTGGTAAGAGAGCCTCTATCTGCTCTTTACTAAATAAGCATCTATTATCAGTACCTTTGATAAAGGTAACTTTAATGCATCTGCAAGCTATCTAATTAGGAAGCAAAGTATTAAGTTTAGGAATATGTTTGCTTAATTGTTCTAGGGTAGAGTTAGCTGATAGATTATGCTTTTCTAAAAACTGCTCTAATACTAACATAAAGTTATTAGTTTTAGGTTTTCAGGTCTTTGAGATAGCTGTTTTGGTAGCCATATTAATACTAATTGTTATCTAGTTATATTATGTGAGAAAAATTCAATTCAAAAAATTTCCTCAATCATAGATTTTGGAATACCATATAGTAGAAGATTGAAAAAAAAAAAATAATAATATAACTCACATGATCCTAAAGAATCTAGCTTTAGCTAGCATTGAACATGAAAAATATGCAACATATTTTTGAATATTTATAATAAAAATGAAGACGAAGTTTTAAGAATATTAATATTAAAATTAACTTATATAGGCCATTTTATCTGCCAATATATTAAGAAAGATGGTTCAATTTGTGGAAAAGGATGCATAAGTGATTTAGGGTGTTCTAGATATTTTAATATCCTTCTTAGAACAATATATTCTATCTGTAATGAGCTAACATATTCTGATACTGGAATCTGTAACACATATAAAAGAATTTATAAAAATGCCTGACGTGAAGATAAAAAAGTTAAAATAGAATCAGACATGATTGAGATACCTAGCTGAATAATAATTTAGCTAAAGTATTATTTTTCCTATCTTATAGAATCAAAGAATTTCTGAATATCATTATCTGTTTTTGATCTGTATGGTAGAAGCTCTGGAGTGCCTTTATCTCTAAAACTAATACTATTATATGGCCAGCAATTAATTTGATATGAATATTGCGAAACTTATTGTTCTTTAGGTCTTATTCTTTTTTTATCACTTTTAATAGTATATCCATACTAATTACCAGCAATTGCATTAATTGCTTTATAGCTGATTTAAGATCTGGTGTTTCTTTTACATGAAATTTAAATTCAAAAAGCAATAAGAATTGATTTTGGATTTTCATAAATCTTTCATACGATTGAACAAACGCTTCTGAAATAATATTACCCAAAAAGTACATATATTATCAATGCTAATAAAGCCTAGTATTTGAAAAAGTTCCTGTATCACCTTCTACTGTTTAAACAAATATGCCTTTCATAAATCAATTGAAGATGGATTTGAGAAATTATGCGATTTCTCTCACTGTATAGTTTTTTTAGTTTTTAACTCTTTTAAAACTTTTATTGAATCTGAATCTTATTTTTGAAAATATACCAGTCTTCTAAAGTATCGTAAAGGTTCAGGATTATTAAATTTTTTTATAAAACTAATATTGCATAGATTAATCCATTTGACATTATCTATACCCTAGTCCTGATTATCATCCTTACCTCCAATATCTTCTGAAACGTATATTCTCCATAAATAGTATTGTTGCAATATCATATTATCAGTGAACAAGCGGGTGGGAATTTGTTTAAGAACTTCAGCATTATCTAGGATGATATCAAATACGTTGACTATTAATTCTGTATCAGAGCTTTTGATATTTTCTTCAACTACCTTAATAATATTAGAAACCATTTTCCTATCAGCTATAGTACCTTCTGTAGAAATAATTTCAAGTTAAGCTCCTGTACTAAAAACAAGACTGCAAAGAATTTTAGGAAAGTATTTTGCTGATAAACGTCTCTAGTATTCAGTCTCAATATATGTTTCAACTACTAGAGATACATCAAGAGCATAACAATTAGCAATTTTATTCTATTTCTGATGTTCTTTTACTACTATTGGTAAACAATAGATCTTAAAGCAGAAAGTTCAGCATGAAAAAGACTACGATTTAGCTCTTAAAATATTTTAAGGACTTCTAACTATTATATAAAGAAATTATGCATTGTAAACAATCCTGAATTTGATAAAGCATCTGTGTAAAAGCTTTGACATGTACTCCTGTTTTAATATTGTTAATTTCTATAATAGTGTCAAAATGATTAGGAATTTCAAAGGAGATGCCAGCTTCTATAGCACTTGTGTAAATCACGCAGTTAAAAGAACTCCAGATAGCATTAATATCAGTAAAATCCTCTTATTGTTGCATTTCATCCATTTGACCAAAATAAACATGAGTTAAAATAAGTGAACTATCCAGTTTTTGCAATGTGAAAGTTTGGTTTACTAAAGCTTAAACTTTTTTATATGATATTATTACAAAAGCAACATGCTTGCCTTCTTGGAGTATCTTAAGACCTCTTTTTATAACCTTTGAATTTTTATCCAGATCATAAAGAATCTTAACAGTTTCGCCTATATGTGGTTGATATTTATTATCAAAAATTTGTATATTATTACCTTGATATTGTTTTAAGAAAGCTATAGTGAAATCATTCGCAAAAGCATCTATAACTATAACATAAATAGCTGACTTTAGCAAATCTCGCATAGCATTTTCAGATTCTTGCGTATGAATACTACTAGACATTTGACGTATAATCGCATTGACTTCATCTAAAATAACTACATATGAACACCTTCTATGAAGCTCAATACAATGTGTACTTTCAACCTGAATGATAATAACATCCAATTACTTATAGCTAAACTACCCTCAACTTCTTGATATTAGCATATGTGAAATCCTAAATTCTGTAATATTTCAATTTTAACTTTAGTCTCATTGGTAAGAGTTTTGTGATATGAAATCCAGATAAAGCAAGGCAAATTTTTTCTATTTCCAACTAAAGAGTTGAGAATTTCTCTTAAAGCTTTTGTTTTACCAGTACCTACGGGTGAACGAATAAAAGTTATACTACATACAGAATTTAAGAAATCTGAATAAGTTTCTGAAGCCTCTTCTATCTCTTTTACATTAATATTTTTTCCAGACAATTTAGAGAGCAAATGTGGATTTTTTACAATATTAATTAACCTGTCATTCAATTCCCATTTAGCTCTTTCTTTTAACTTGATTATACTGATGCCTCTTTAAATACTAGTCCTTTATGATCTGGCTTATATTGATTTTGCTGATAGCATTTAAGTACAAAATGGCTGTTACTTCAAAGAAAGCCATATAATTGATCTCTTTTATATTTGATTCTGCAAATAGGACATACTTTATATAACTTTATTTGAAAGTTAATAAATTCTTTTCTAAAGTCACCAATCTCAAGCTATTTATATTTTGCGATAACTTGACTAGCTTCCTTGCTTAAAGCAGTTTCATCTTCGATAAGTTGGAATTCATCCTTTTCTGGCTTTTCAGGAGAAAAGGTCTGTGATCAGATTTCAGAATAATTAGATTTAGATTGAATTAAATAATCTTCTAGCTTGTGATATTCTTATTTAACTAAAGAAACTGCTGGTCTTTTAACTCTATATTCCTTTGCTGATCCAAGAAGCTGAAGACTAAAACGTGATTTATAAAACCCAAGGTTAATAAATTCAAAGTATGATTTTCCAACTCTATTAGCAACTTTTTTTACAAATCCTCTAAGATTTCTGTAGTTAACGAATTGTGCATATTTATATACAATATATCAATTACATTTATTAATATTAGATGAACTGGCTAAGGCAAAAGCATCTAATATTGCAAGATAGTTTAAATTAAAATATAAAATATCAACATAAGTAATTAAGATTCTGAATAATAAATCTTCACGAGTAACTTTATATTTATCTAAAAAAGGAGCTCAGGGTTCATTGGATCTGACTTTTATTTCGCATCAATATTTAGAATCAGGCAAAGACGCAGATTTCCATCAATGCATTCGTGAATATTAGGAATTTTATAAACTTTAGATGAATGATTGACTACTATAAAACCTTTTTCAGATACTTGAATAATATATTTTGAATAAATCTCTTCAGGATGATAGATGCTTAGAAGAGAAATATCATTTTTATTATTAGATAAATATTGAAAATATACATAATCATTATAGTCAGGCTTATAGTCAAAATCTGCTAAACCAAAAAAAAGCCTAGTTGCTTTATTTATTATTTTAGAGTGAAGCCTAGAATTTTTTTATGTAAGTAGCATAATACAATATATGGAAATACTAAGTATAAAATTATATGTAAATTTTTCAAATCTTCAAAATAAAAATTTTGAGCGAATATGCTTGTTAGTAAAATACTGGATCAGTGGTAGTATCCAAAAGTAGTCAATGTGGTAGTACTCAAAAATAATCAATATGATAGTATCCAAAAGTAGTTGATGTAGTAGTACCTAAAAATAATTGATATAATAATAATCTAAAGTAATTAGAGATGTTCAAAATAGTAATGTTAACGTGTAATTCTTGCAAATTATGACTGTTAGATGGGGTGTTCAAGTGGTTTATTCTTTTTAATTGAGCAGTAATCTTTCAACAATTTATAAGTT